GATAACAACGTAATAAAGTGATAATAAATTTTATTTCACTGATGGCAGGGTAGTCATGTGATATCATGTTTAAATATACTCGTACCACTGAAATACAGGAATTTATCAATCTTAAAAGAGATAAAGCATAAATACGTTGACAACTAGATTAGGAAGGATTCTTACCAGAACACCAGAGTTCTTACAGCATAAATTGTTAGAATACAGCGTAAAACAGCCTATTCAAAATGGCGTCGTCTTGTTGTCAAATATAACGCCAAGCTCCACGTGTATCTAGCGTCAAAAAGCGCGCTAATAATTATTTAAATGTTTGGATTAGGCCTGCATTAGTGTCAAATATTCGCCGCTAGACTGCGCTCCTTGAAACTATTTTCGAAGCGAAGTCTAACGGAGAGTAGAAAAACCACGGCAAGCAATCCAGTCAAATATGTAGATCTGTTCTTTTCATCTCTTATTCCTTTTAAAATATTAATCCAAATGTGTATGTTGTTTCCGATAAAATAACAAACGTGTATATGTATCTTTGTTCAATCGTGCATCAAAAAACGGTTTTATTTAACTGAAGCGATATTCCTTCCTGAAGATATTATCTATGAAATTGGCATTCGAGAGATTGATTTACAACTTCCAATTATGCGCCGGCTGTCGTCTTGATCGGGTTATTTTAAGCGGATTTTCTTCGCAGCAAAGTTCATTAAAGGAGGGACTTGTACCTTTATACTCTCGTAACATAGATGAGCTGTATGATTATTTTTATGTTACAAGAGTTTGTATGTTAGATCAAGTGCTCACTGTCTAAAATGTTACGAATAATTGGATTACGGTCCATCATTGTGATCCTATTTCTCTTGTTGGGAACTGGAACAGTAATATTGACTGTACTTTTCAAAGGTAATTAGCATTTTGTTTTAATTCTTAACCCGCTGTTATTGTAACACTGATAATAGACACACAAATATATATATAAAGTAGCAATCACCATCCAGTACTAGATTTTAGGGGAGAGTGATATAAATATCCCTGAAACAAGCATTTCCGTTGACCATATTTAATGTTATCACTCCATAACATATGTAAACGTATTCATGTAACGTCGAGGTTGATTGGCCAATGAGACGGTGTAAGGGTTATTGTAAATGTCTAAAAATATTACCATTAGTCATTAGATTATAAGGATTATTTATTTATTTATTTATTTATTTATTTATTTATTGTTGTTGTTAAAGATCCACAACACCAAAAACGGAATGTACTCTTGGCATGATCCGCTTCGCGGTTTATTTAGAACACACTCCGTTTTTTGTGTAATGACGAATTGATATTAATCATTAAATAATATAAAACTAGTATTTCATATGTCTTTGATTTAATCAAGAATTAACTTCAATGATTTTTGTATAAGGTTATTATTGAACGCTCATTAACCAAACTGCCAAGACGAGCCATGTCTCAGTATATTTGGTTTCGCCATTGTTGTTTACCTTGTTCTCGTTTGGGAACATGACATTACTTACATAGATTGACCAAGATTAACATGGCGGGTTTCGTCGATAAAGCAGAAGACGCTCACTATTCTAGAACACATGTTTGTTTTCTCCTTGTACTTCTCAGGGGTTCCCGTGTAAGTCTTTCTTGTGGTCCTCTTCTGTCATAGCTTAATAGAATTTGAATAAGGTTCTGTTTTCATCTCAATATCTTCTTTGTTGTTTATAAACAAATTTGTACAGTGCATTTATGTAAATTTGAAAGCGGGTTTTACATTTGACAAGAAACTCTGTCTGCTTCCTGGTGCCTTTCAGTAGAAAGCCGAGATATCACGGCCTGGTGTTATCCGGTCTCGGTAACTATCATTACATGTAATCACGTTCCGGCCCAAAGTCTTATAAACTGGAACATAATTTTCATGCATTTACAATTGTAGATTAACACTGCAATGCACGCAGTGTAAACGATCATGCTTTGCTCGTCTCTTTGAAGAGAGTTTATGCTGTCACTGCGGCGTCGGGTTTAGGCGTTGGGCGTCGACGTTGGTTTTGTATTGTAAAAGTTATGATTTTTGATGTATTTTTTTTAAAAGACATCAACACATCAATTTATAATTGTTCTGTGGTACTAGTATTTGGTACAAGTGTACCAGGGTCCCTACAGGGTTTACTTTCTTTTTCCAGTACCAGACATAGGAGTTTACTTCCACTCTCTAATAGTATTCTTTCAGCTATGACTGAAATCAGATCAGGACAATCAATTTTATCTGTTCTTGATTTATGAGGCAAGTTATACTTCTATCAACAGCTTTAGTTTGATGTGCAATAACTGACTGATGTAAAAAAACATTAATACGATACAGAAAACATATTCTCTTACATAAGGCGGGGAAGTCTTGCATATCTTCTGTTGGATCTTACTGGTTTGCCTGATCTGTTTGGTACATTTACCCGACACTTGGAGTGTAAAATGATTTCATAATGAGAATGACGTCATATTCAATTTTCTTGATGACATATAACCGGAATGGTAGAGGTAATAGTATCGAATTGGGGAATCTGGGGGGGAAAAAGTAGTTACATTTCTTATACCATTCCGATAAGGTAATGTACGAGAGGGAGGGAGGGAGGGAAAGAGAGAGAGAGAGGGGGGAGGGGGGAGAGAGAGCGGGAGAGGGAGAGAGAGAGAGAGAGAGAGAGGAGAGGGAGAGAGAGAGAGAGAGAGAGAGAGAGAGAGAGAGAGAGAGAGAGAGAGAGAGAGAGAGAGAGAGAGAGAGAGAGAGAGAGAGAGAGGGGGGGAGAGAGAGAGAGAGAGAGAGGGGGGGAGGGGGAAGAGAGAGAGAGAGTATAATCCTGCACGTAAAAGGTGGATTTATTTTAGTCTGGAGCTGATGCTCTGTAATATCTGATTTTCAGCTTCGCTTGAAAATTTTGTTACACAAGTAAACTCAGATTATTGATAGATTTACAAAGCATACAGATAACGCAACATATCAATCCTCTTTGTTAGGACAGACACAGAAAATCGAACTTTTGTCAAATAAACAACCGTTCCAATTTCAGTCTACACACCCTAACACCGGCTGCAGGTCTCAGGGAATATTTATCCTTTAATAGACTTAATATAATGGGTCTTTGTAAAAGCGACGGTCATTCGAGGACTTGTTAACTTTAAGTCTCCAAGGTATATAGTAACCTGCAGGCCGTTTTAATTCACTCAAAAGTGGCAGTGTCCAGAATATCCTCAAGCAGTGAACCCTTTTTCATCAGACAAATTAAAAGTAGGAAATTTATCTATTTGTAGGGGAGAGTATACTTCCTCATCTAAACTAACGCCCTAAACATCACTGACGGGTCCTTGCAGAACGAGGCATTTGTATGATGCAGTTTAATTCATTATTTGACTTTATAAGTGAGAAACATGCTACTGAGTCTGTGTTGTCTCTTCTGTCCCTAACAAGTTTCCCCATGCCCGTTGAGCGTGCCCTAGGGTACCGCCGGCCAGAGACCCTGGATTCGTCGTTGGCTCATCGCCCTCCATCATCAGCATGGTGCTTGCCGTCATAGATATTTATCCATGTATATCTGATAGCGAGTGGAACCACCGTTCTACGGTTTGGAGGTCGATAGCTTCCAGCTCTTCTCCTCGCGTTGTAGCCACAACCAGCTAGACGCACGCTCTGCAGCTTGGCTCAGTCTTTGGATCGTCCTGCGCCTTTCCCTGCCAGTGGTACTAATTGCTGCCATCAGTCGACACACAGACTGGGAACAAAATCCCCTGACGCCTACTTCGATGGGGAACAGCCACGTACGCCAGCCTCTACTCCTGCATTCGTTGAGGAGCTCCGTGTACTTTGAATTCTTCCTCTCGTAGGCCTCGGCACATCTTGGTTCTCAGGGTACTGTTAGCTCGATCATGATGAGCTTCTTTCCTGTTCCAGACCACAGCACGGTCTGAGGTTTGTCTGGACAATGCCAGGAAACACAAGCTTCTTTCCTAGGATCGATGACATCTGGTTTGGCTGTGACTAGGGGGTTTCACCTGACTTCACAAAGTTGATGTGACGCTGTTGGGGAATACTCCTTCGCTCCTTCTTCCTTACTACTTCCAGCCAGTCAGCCACCTCTCTGAGAACTTTTTCATGACGCCATCTGTATCGTCCTTGTGTCCGTGCTGTGGAACAGGAAGACAGAACATGTTTTAGAGTTCCAGGGCGGTTACAGAGCTTGCATGATGGGTCTGTTGTCAGCCCCTAAAGGCAGAGGTTAGCTGGGGATGGTAGGAGATCGTGGACTGACCCGAGGAGGAAGGACAGCCTCAACGGTTTGTACTTCCAGAAGTCCTCCCAGGTCAGCTTTCTGTTAATGATATCCCATGTGGTCCATGCTCCTTGTGCTGCCATCTCCACCGCTCTAGCCTGCCTTCTGTCCTCTTCTGTTCTCCTGACTTCTGACTGTATCATGGCTCGTCTCTCGTCCTGGGCTGCCCGGCTCCACAGAAGTGTCTTAGTTTCACCAATCCCTTGCCGTCCGACAGCGATCATTCCCACAATGCCCTTGTGCTTGATTTATCGAAATTTGCAGTGACAGATGCTGTTCACTCGCGTGTCTTTTGAGCTATTTTAATGAGAACAAGGACAGTGCATTTTGTACTGTTGATGGGTATAGAGATAATCCTTCTCCACGGCGACATAAAGTTTTATCTTTATATATATATATGCATATATTATATATTTATTGAAAATGTGGTGAAATCGACGTGACCAGTAAATATAGGAAAAAGTTATTGAAAATGAAGAAATGAAAGCGCTTATGTTTTACATCATGTTTTTTCCAGTGTTTTAACTTTATTTATATATATATGTGTGTGTGTGTGTGTGTGTGTGTGTGTGTGTGTGTGTGTGTGTGTGTGTGTGTGTGTGTGGGTGTGTGTGTGTGTGTGTGTGTGTATTTCTGTACAATATTACATTTCCTTTCACAGATGTTGCTATTATCCGTCCAGCTTTCATAAGGAAAATGGCATATTGGTCTAGTCAGAGTGAAAACCTACAACCTCCAGTAAATATGTATCCAGACCCGGCCACAGTGAGGTTCACTTCATCATCAACGCAATCAAGATCGACACCAAGAAATGTGAGTATCTTAATTCAATTTTAAGTTTAAGTGATTATGATATAAATATATTGTATTGTAGGAACACGAAAGAAAAAACTAGAAAATGTTTTCGATATACATACATAGCGTTGCATATGATCCTAATCAAACTTTTAAGAAATTTTGGATTTTTTTTTCTGCTTTTTCTAAGCAGTAAACTGCACATGTGTAAGTTGACATAGTTGCTACCTTTCTTTTTTCAGAAATTTGGAAAACATTATGATCTAGATGAAACACATGCGAAGAGAAATTGGGTCATAGAGAGAGTTTGTGACAATTCCACACATAGATATCAAGGCGATTCCAAAAGTCTGGCTGTTGAACGTAATTCTCTGATAGATCAAAGGCATAGCATCATGTACTGTCGGGTTCAAAAGATTGGCTCCACATTTCTCACCAGCCTTCTTCATAAGCTGAATATGGCTAACAAAAACGAAGATGGACATACGAAACTTATGCCCGTAAACGCTTTAAAAGACATTGGATTTGTAAACCTTCATTCATCACTCTTGAAATCCTTTAAATTCATGTTTACTCGAGATCCGTACAGTCGTCTTTTATCTGGATACGTGGACAAATTATTCTCTGTAAACACTCTTTATTGGAAATCCATAGGGATGTACATCAAAAACAAATTGTTGAACCCAGAAGGACAATTTTCTCTATGTGGAAATGACGTTACATTTCCGCAATTCATTAAATACGTTATCGACGTCGAGACCACTGGCAAGCACGGTGATGTCCACTTTACGCCTATTTACAAACACTGTAGACCGTGTCAGATACAGTACGATTTCGTAGGGAAGATGGAAACGTTTGCAAAAGATACGCTGGTTCTTGTCAACACTTGGAATAAACGTTATGGTACTAACATCTCTTACGATGATTTTGAACAAGAAACTGTCTTAGATCGGGTTAACGGTCACGTTGGACGTCTTTATGGTATGAGGAAACAAGTTATGGAGTGCACATCGTTTCCTTCTATGATGAAACGTGTTTGGACAGATTTTCAAATCAGAGGTTTCTTGTCGAAATATTCGTCATTTCCTTTTACAGATGAAGAGGCGGATTCACTTACCAAATCCCAGTTTATTAGTGTTCTTGTAAATATCATAACAGACAAGTCGACTGATCGCAAAGCTGTGAAGGAACAGAAAATGGAGGCGCTTGTACAGGCTTACAGCTTGGTGCCAATGGAGGACCTCGTCAAACTTCGGGAAGTAGTTCGCCCAGACTGTTTGTTATTCGGGTATAATGATTCGCCAGCTTATATTTTCAATAGGACTGACGACTTCCAAAATAGTGTTCAGTATCGCTATTTCGATATCGGATAATGAGGAAAATGATTCGCTATGATGTTTCTCGATGTGACTTCACATATTCTGGGTACTATTTCAGAAAGAGTGTTCTGTTAAGCGTCATATAGACCACAATAACACGAAGCATTTTCACTATTTTCATTGACTTCTTTTCGGGTTCTCGAAGATATTTTCATTTTTTTTCAAACATCACATATTATTTCGAATCATCACGTGATAGTTAAAGTCATCAAAAAATAATTCCTTCAAAAATTTGAGAAATATGAAACCACTGATACTGAGAACAAACTGCATGCGTCTGTTCTGTCTTGGCACGGAACTACAGTCCTCCATGTCTGTAACATTTACAAATACTAATCAATAGTTTGTCGTAATTGTCAAAAGTGTTTTGTATACTTCAATGAAATCAAACGGTGAATTAAAGATCAAATAATATGTTAATATGAAAATGATAATATGTGTGTACTCTTCCGGAACACCTGGTCTTATTCTCCTTGTACTTTTTCAGGAGTCTCCGTGTAAATCTTTCATTTGTTCATAGTTTGCTTTAGTTTTATGGACTTTGAGCTTGGATTGTGATTATGTGGCCATGTTGGTATTTTCTTGGTGTTTTTTGTAAAGCTTTCAGAAACATCTGTGCTAGATACGTGTATTTACTCTGAAATAAAAACACGGAGCTAAATTCATCTCAATTTAAATGTAATCAAATATACTGTCGGACAAAAGGGAACATATTTCCAGAGACGTAGAGTATAGAAGGATATAAAATTAGGGCCTTGTGGAGACTTTATTGACATTGGGTTTTGTGTTTATTCATTGAACCGTGAAATCCTCTCTCCTCGATGTCTAACCTTATCTGCATATGCCTTATTCGCTTCTACGCAGTTTAGCCTGACCCGTGCCTTTTTTTAGAGATATTTTGCTAATGAATTAAAGCGACGTGTCATAAAATTGACTTGAGCCTTTTGGCTTGTTAATGTTATCTATTTAAAGATCAAGTAAGTTGATATACCAGACGGTGGTCTGTGCTAACTTGAAGATGATTATGATCAGTTTCTTTATGTTTGGCAGAAAAATGATATACAACCGATGGAATTTTTTAGTCGTAGAATGTAGACAGCTTGTCATGCATTATGTTTTAATAATAAAAGAATTTGACAGAAGTTGTTTGTCTCAAAAGCAGAACACTCGATTAGAAAACTATTAATATTTCTATTACTGTCTATTATGAAAAAATAGAAATGTACTTTTAAAGAAAAAAAATGCCTAACATGTCAAAGCGAGATAACTCTTACTCATTCGCTAAAGCCTCACCAACTTTATCCCTCTGTGTTATACGTTCATACCATTACTTTCGTAACAACAAATTAAGAAAATAAAATATATGTTAGTACTTAATTACTATTATATTGATCTCAATCTTAGTTTTATGTTAGTGATATGTTTATACTCCACTTGAATACTAAATATTAAAATAGATGCTATTTTGCACCATCAAAAGTTTATTATTTTTACGTCTACTGGAAGATATTATTTTATAGACTGTTTTTCGAAAATTTCTATAATTGTCTTTTAACTTACGCCCTAACTGGAGACAGCAACACTAGAAAGTCATTGGATAAAAGCCAACATTTTACACATGTAATTAAATAGACACCAGAATTTTACTCGTGGGGGCTAAAAAATCACTATTACACCTGAATCGGACACAGCAACGTCAGAAAGTCACTAAATGTACGCCTGAATCGGACACAGCAACGTCAGAAAGTCACTAAATGTACGCCTGAATCAGACACAGCAACGTCAGAAAGTCACTAAATGTACGCCTGAATCGGACACAGCAACGTCAGAAAGTCACTAAATGTACGCCTGAATCGCACACAGCAACATAAGAAAGTCACTAAATGAACGCCTGAATCGGACACAGCAACGTCAGAAAGTCACTAAATGTACGCCTGAATCAGACACAGCAACGTCAGAAAGTCACTAAATGTACGCCTAAATAAGACACAGCAACGTCAGAAAGTCACTAAATGAACGCCTGAATCAGACACAGCAACGTCAGAAAGTCACTAAATGAACGCCTGAATCAGACACAGCAACGTCAGAAAGTCACTAAATGTACGCCTGAATCGGACACAGCAACGTCAGAAAGTCACTAAATGTACGCCTGAATCGGACACAGCAACATAAGAAAGTCACTAAATGTACGCCTGAATCGGACACAGCAACATAAGAAAGTCACTAAATGAACGCCTGAATCGGACACAGCAACGTCAGAAAGTCACTAAATGTACGCCTGAATCAGACACAGCAACGTCAGAAAGTCACTAAATGAACGCCTAAATAAGACACAGCAACGTCAGAAAGTCACTAAATGAACGCCTGAATCAGACACAGCAACGTCAGAAAGTCACTAAATGAACGCCTGAATCGCACACAGCAACGTCAGAAAGTCACTAAATGAACGCCTGAATCGGACACAGCAACGTCAGAAAGTCACTAAATGTACGCCTGAATCGGACACAGCAACGTCAGAAAGTCACTAAATGTACGCCTGAATCGGACACAGCAACGTCAGAAAGTCACTAAATGCACGCCTGAATCGCACACAGCAACGTCAGAAAGTCACTAAATGTACGCCTGAATCGGACACAGCAACGTCAGAAAGTCACTAAATGTACGCCTGAATCGCACACAGCAACGTCAGAAAGTCATTAGATATATGTCCGAATCGCACACAGCAACGTCAGAAAGTCACTAAATGTACGCCTGAATCGGACACAGCAACGTCAGAAAGTCACTAGATGTACGCCTGAATCGCACACAGCAACGTCAGAAAGTCACTAAATGTACGCCTGAATCAGACACAGCAACGTCAGAAAGTCACTAAATGTACGCCTGAATCAGACACAGCAACGTCAGAAAGTCACTAAATGTACGCCTGAATCAGACACAGCAACGTCAGAAAGTCACTAAATGTACGCCTAAATCAGACACAGCAACGTCAGAAAGTCACTAAATGAACGCCTGAATCGGACACAGCAACGTCAGAAAGTCACTAAATGTACGCCTGAATCAGACACAGCAACGTCAGAAAGTCACTAAATGTACGCCTAAATAAGACACAGCAACGTCAGAAAGTCACTAAATGAACGCCTGAATCAGACACAGCAACGTCAGAAAGTCACTAAATGAACGCCTGAATCGCACACAGCAACGTCAGAAAGTCACTAAATGAACGCCTGAATCGGACACAGCAACGTCAGAAAGTCACTAAATGTACGCCTGAATCGGACACAGCAACGTCAGAAAGTCACTAAATGTACGCCTGAATCGGACACAGCAACGTCAGAAAGTCACTAAATGCACGCCTGAATCGCACACAGCAACGTCAGAAAGTCACTAAATGTACGCCTGAATCGGACACAGCAACGTCAGAAAGTCACTAAATGTACGCCTGAATCGCACACAGCAACGTCAGAAAGTCATTAGATATATGTCCGAATCGCACACAGCAACGTCAGAAAGTCACTAAATGTACGCCTGAATCGGACACAGCAACGTCAGAAAGTCACTAAATGAACGCCTGAATCAGACACAGCAACGTCAGAAAGTCACTAGATGTACGGCTGAATCGGACACAGCAACGTCAGAAAGTCACTAGATGTACGCCTGAATCGCACACAGCAACGTCAGAAAGTCACTAAATGTACGCCTGAATCAGACACAGCAACGTCAGAAAGTCACTAAATGTACGCCTGAATCAGACACAGCAACGTCAGAAAGTCACTAAATGTACGCCTGAATCAGACACAGCAACGTCAGAAAGTCACTAAATGTACGCCTAAATCAGACACAGCAACGTCAGAAAGTCACTAAATGTACGCCTGAATCAGACACAGCAACGTCAGAAAGTCACTAAATGTACGCCTGAATCAGACACAGCAACGTCAGAAAGTCACTAAATGTACGCCTAAATCAGACACAGCAACGTCAGAAAGTCACTAAATGTACGCCTGAATCAGACACAGCAACGTCAGAAAGTCACTAAATGTACGCCTGAATCGGACACAGTAACGTCAGAAAGTCACTAAATGTACGCCTAAATAAGACATAGCAACGTCAGAAAGTCACTAAATGTACGCCTGAATAAGACACAGCAACGTCAGAAAGTCACTAAATGTACGCCTGAATCAGACACAGCAACGTCAGAAAGTCACTAAATGTACGCCTAAATCAGACACAGCAACGTCAGAAAGTCACTAAATGTACGCCTGAATCAGACACAGCAACGTCAGAAAGTCACTAAATGTACGCCTGAATCAGACACAGCAACGTCAGAAAGTCACTAAATGTACGCCTAAATCAGACACAGCAACGTCAGAAAGTCACTAAATGTACGCCTGAATCAGACACAGCAACGTCAGAAAGTCACTAAATGTACGCCTGAATCGGACACAGTAACGTCAGAAAGTCACTAAATGTACGCCTAAATAAGACATAGCAACGTCAGAAAGTCACTAAATGTACGCCTGAATAAGACACAGCAACGTCAGAAAGTCACTAAATGTACGCCTGAATCGGACACAGCAACGTCAGAAAGTCACTAGATGTACGGCTGAATCGGACACAGCAACGTAAGAAAGTCACTAAATGTACGCCTGAATCAGACACAGCAACGTCAGAAAGTCACTAAATGTACGCCTGAATCAGACACAGCAACGTCAGAAAGTCACTAAATGTACGCCTGAATCAGACACAGCAACGTCAGAAAGTCACTAAATGTACGCCTGAGTCAGACACAGCAACGTCAGAAAGTCACTAAATGTACGCCTGAATCGGACACAGCAACGTCAGAAAGTCACTAAATGTACGCCTGAATCAGACACAGCAACGTCAGAAAGTCACTAAATGAACTGTTTTCAAACACAATCGTACACAGACAAACGCTAATGCCTTGTTGACTTAAGTCTTTTTTCTTTGCTTTCAGATTACAAGACCATTAAATAAAG